CAGAAGGTGCCGGAACTTGCGCTCGGCCCGCGTCATGCCCATCTCCAACAGCTGGAAGTAGCCGAGCATGAAGAGGTCGAGACTCAAGCTGTCGTAGGCCACAGGGGCGCCGTTGACGTGAGGGAGGAAGTGCTCCGGCCAGTAGATCATGTGGTGACGACTCAAACGTCTGATCTGTCTCGTTGGGACCTGGGCTATTATCGTCCTCCAATGCCCGATCAGTTTGCCGACCACTTGCCTCTGCTTCATGAAGTACAGGAGCCGGTCGTCGTCGCTCCGCCCTCTCCCGATCTCGCAATCCAGCTCCGAGGCACTGTACAGGAATCCCTCATCTTCAAAGTCCACGTTCAAGTGCCCCGAGTTCCTCCTGCCTCTCAGCTGCTTCTGTCGGAAGGATTCCGTGAAGGTCCATTTCCTCCAGTGTTCGAGGAAGAGAAAGACAATCCTCTCCTTCCTCATGTCTATGTATTCTTGCACGTAACTGAGGTCCGTCTGCACGGGAAGGCTCCTCGTCATCAGGTCTGAGCTGAATAAGGTCTCCGTGTCCATATTATCACCCCGATTATATTGCTCCATATCATTCCTGCAGCCGTCTGTACCGCTGTTGTACGTCAACGGTGCATAACTCGGAATGATTAATGGCTCATCCACCATCCCCAGCCCAAGGTTTCCTTGAGACCTTTGCTGGAGTCTCCCCTCCGACTCACTGTTTTGCACAGCCCTAGCACTAAAATGATGGGATTCCTCTAGGATAGTTTCATGGGAGCTAACGGGCAGCGATCTCTTCCTTTTGTAAACCCTCTGTTGGTTCTCATCCATGTGCTTCAACTGCACTTGTAACTCGTAGTTTGCCTTTAGGTTTTTGACAGACACGCCACATTGCAGAATCTCCTTTTCAACCTCCTCCCTACTCGAGCTGAACGATTGGGACCTTCCTATATTCACCCCCGTCTCCTTGGCTGAGGAGGCCTTCGCCGGCTCCGCCACAGGCCCCCTACCTAGGTCGGTGGAGGGCATCAAGTCAAAGATGTCTATGTTCTTCCCACCCAAGGTGGCGAGGAGAATAGCCATGCTTTTCAACAGGGTGGAGATTTTGCTGCACCAAACGGGCAGGTCATCTGGGTGCCCTGGCAGGCGCCTGGGATTCACCGTGAAATGCTCGTGGACCAACGCGGCAGACACGGGCAGAAGTTGCTGAAGTTCGTACTCCAGCTGCTCCAGTTCCGTCTCCACCTTCTGCACCTTGTGCCTGACCTGCAGGTTCTGAATCTGCTTCTCGATGCGGATGATATCGTCTTCGGTCATGAGCTCCCCAAAGGGTCCCAGAATTGCATTGTGCGCGTGCGAGTATCTCCAGGCCTCAGTTTGGTAATAGTTATTCGCAAACTGCCTCAGGAGGAAACAAAGGGAGAGATACCTCTCTCAGCAAACGAGAGAACCCAGATTTTTCTCTTCAGTCTATCAGTTTCACTCCCTTCAGTAGTTTAGTGGTGCAACGAAGGAATTAATTACAATCACTTTCACCCATTTTATCAAATGCAAGGACCATTATTGTTCTCATTTAAAGCAAATAACCTCTGTACGTACCATCCTTTCCATTTCCATTTAATAATCGATAAACCTCGAAGCTCATTAACTATTCTAGCCATTCCAAGGGCAAAACATTATTTGTTCTCAAAGACGACAGAGAGTTGGGGATCACAGGATTCCCCTTTACTGTATTTGACGGTCAACTCAGAAAGAGCAGAGGTTAATCTCAGTCAGAGATTGGGTTGTTAGGAGACTTACTTTTGCACCACTAAATACTAACGCAAAAACATATGAAGTTGCAGTACCCTTTCTGTAAGCTTAGAGTTGAACGGTCTAACACAACAGCTTAGTGAGCTATTAATTTGACTAAAATGGGCCGTATGGCAGATATCGCCATAAAATGTGGTGTAGAAGATGGCTTGAGTTTGCGCTGTCAAATATATATTTATATATTCCTATATTTACATCCTACTAATAACGTGGCTTCTGTCAGGACATGTTTTATGTCTACTTTATGGTCAATGTTGGTTGGAAGTTTACGTTTCTTGAACTCTTTTGATACCAAACCTTGGGCTTCCAGGCAAGGCAACGTCAATGATCCTGAGTGAGAATCTTTCACCGTAGAGCTACAGAGCTTCACGAACAGTGAAGTTAGCAACTTAGATATAACACAGAAAGCGTGAAACTCCACCTTGTCTTGGTCTAAAAAAAACTGCAAGACCATTTTATCTTAAAATGTAAGAGGGGGAGGCGGGATAGTGAAAATTCTTCAAGCCCAGCCTTAATTTGGAAGCAGCTTTTTTTTTTAAGAGCTATGGAAAAAATCGCTGCTAAATTGAGCCTGGATTTATTTACCAATTTGCCCAGTCTTAAGTTTAAAATGGTCCGAGCTGTGAAAGACCAGGTGGAATTTCAGGCCTAGAAATGGTACAGACACAAACGTGAGCCACACAGGATGCAAATTCCAGGCTTTCCATGGGAAGAAAGTGGGTCACAGTTTAGCTGATTATAGGTTATGTCAAGCACTCTGGGACACTACATTGCGTGATGGGTGCGATATAAATGCAAGTTGTTGTTGCGAAACCACCGGCAAATCAATAGGGGTCAGCAGTGACTCTTTGGACAATCAATCAGTTTGTGCATTTAGCCGTGTGAATTCACTGGTTGCGACGAGGATGAAAGAAGGATTTAAAAGTTCTCGACTGTGCTCTTGTTAATGTCTCACACAGCCTGAGAGGGGACAGGCAGCCCTGTATCTTTCACAGTCGAACCACAGCTGAGAACCCCCAGTTACAGCTACTGGGGTGAATGTTATTCCAGTTAGCAAGGCTCGCGGAAAAAAGAACCGGGCAAAGCAAAGCAAAAAAAAAACGGATCAAAAATAAAAGGGGACAAATACATTTCATTCTGTAAGGAAAATGATGGGCGTAAGCTTGGGGATCATTTTATCTGTCTAACTCGATTTCCACACTATAGGAAGGATATATGTATTGTCTGTTACTGCTATCAGGATAGACTGGATAAGTTGGACCTTTTTTCACGAGAGAAAAAACGTTTAAGAGGGGATCGAATCGAAGTGTTTAAAATTATAAAAGAGTTCGATAAGGTTAGCATAAAGAGGGCTGTTGCAACTGGTTGGGGAACCCAGAACTAGGGGCACAAGTATAAGATAGGAACGAGGGAATCAAGAAGAGATATTACGAGGAGCTACTTTACACAGAGGGTAGTGAGATGGGACTTTGAAACTGCCTCGTTTGTGATTGCCGATATTTCTCTGCTTTACGATGAACCAAATGACAGGACCCAACCAGTCACAAGGGCATTATGTCTGATCAGGTATGAGGGTGGCTGTTTACCCTGGGAAAAAGCATCGGGATCAATTTTGCGGTCTTTCTTAACGGATTTCTTAATTAAAGGAACTGGTTAAGAAATAGTGCAAAATTGACCACATCGGTTCTTTGATGCCATTTCACAGCAATTTTTTTGATAAGTAAAATTAAGATTAGTTGAGACAGCGCTCATGATGTGAAGGGCATAGTACAGCGACAGCATCCTATGCATCAGACAGAAGTAAACTCAGGTTTCAGTGTGCTAACCTGGTAACATCCTAACTGCAAAATTCAAAGTTTATCATATGTAAGGTCCCACGCTTAGTCAATTAAGGTTCCACTGTAACTATCGCTTGACTCTCTCTACTGGCAACAAATCCTAGTGTGTTTTCTTAACGGGATGTGGCTTCGCTATATGGCGTTAGTATCCAACAGACAAATGTACTTGTAGCACAATACAGAATGGATACTGCAGCTTTAATGTTCGGCAACACTCCAGCAACGTTGAAACACCAAACCCATGCAATGCAAGCACACACCCAAGGCAATATGTAAGAAGTCTTGTCAGTGTTATGCTCAAGTACTGAGCCTTGTGTTGGGGGAAAAAAAGGAACTCAAGTATTAGAGAAACTACAACGACAAAATGTACGACCAAATGATTTGCGCTGCTAACGTTCTAGTCCCTAAGCGATGGCCACCTCCTCCTTTTCTAACAGCCGAATAGAATTGTTAAGAAGCTCGTTATAAAGATTCGATCTTTGGTAACTTCTGAACTGACCCAACGTACAGATATCTCGAAGGGTCCCCATAGGTCTGATCTTCCAATGGTTTGCAGCTAGCTTGTTCTTGTGCATGTCACGGTTCCTGGGTGATACATCACCCAGTTACTTTGAGCACCTTCTTCTGCTGTGCAATTCCAAGCAGATAAAACAGGTACCTGTTTTGCACCTAATCCCAAGGGAGGTATCCATAGAAACGGCTCAGATATTATTATGTGTAATTGAAGTGTATATCTACCCAAGTACGGTGACTATGGATACAGTTTATCAGGCGTAAAGGTTTAATTCCGTACTTAACGAAACTGTTTCAGCATGGATGACTTTGTTTTCTTGTACAGCGTCTTGTTTATGTGTATGTCCCACAGTGCATTGATGTTGCGTCTTGAGGTAGGTTTTTACTTTCTAGGATTAAAGGGTATCAGGAACTCAGAATCTCTCGCAGTCTCAGCCTTAGGACCACTGCCTTCAAACTGATCACTGCCCAGAATTGTGCAGAAAACCTCAAATTCAGTCCTCGGAAGAATCGACCTCCGACTTATAACCCGGTCTAAGAATTTTACACAGCCTCCAGTCACAGAAATCTCACAACCACTAAAATACCTCAAACTCCACAGCAAACCAATCCACAAGTCACGAGCCGGGCGGAATGAGTTTCCCGAGGTGCATCAACATCAAAGCGTTCCTTGGTACCTCTTTCAATGTAATGTAAAGGAAGTCAAATGGGGAGAGAGGGGTGTGACGGCAGGCCAAAGCAAACAGGGTGTGTAATGGGACTCAAGCGTAGACCGATAGGGAGGGAATTAGGGTGTGTGAGGCCAGGCCAAAGCAGTGGTGAAGACACAACCATTGGGGTTTGGCTCACCTTGCGTTTCTGTTGTTCTTCCTCCTGGATTTTGACCTGGAGCTTCCTCACCATCACCTGCCGCTTCCACTCGGGGATGGGCCTGCCCTGCTCGTCGTGAGTGGGGACGAGGGACTCCACATCGGCGACTGTGGTCTGAGCCGCTGCGGTGGCGTTGCCGTTCACGATCGGCTCGGTGGGGCTGGCGGCCTGCGGCTTGTCCGCGGGGTGCTCGGGCTGTTCACATCGCAAACACAAGACACGAGGACAAAAACGTTAGTTAGTGCATGTTTTCGTCTGCTAATGGCAAAAAGAATTTGGTCGTACGTATAATAATCCTCGCATTTGATACAGCGCCTGATCACATCTTCGAGACGTCTCAAAGCGCTTCACAGGATACACCGTAAAGTGGATTTGTGGGCAAAATGCGGCTGCCAATTTTGCACAGCAGCGTCCCCACAAACAGTCGTGGATTGAAGTGACCAATTTTTTTTTAAGGAATTATTACGCCCGGAAAAGCGATCCCCCAATCCATTAACAACCGGGTTCCTTCTTACTACTTGGTAAACAGGGTTGTGTGGAGTAAGGAAACTTGCCCAAAGTTTCGCCCTGACTGGGAATCAAACCCAGGCCTCTCGCTTGCGAGGCGAGCGCTTTGTCCACTAAGCTACAGGGCTCCAAATGTGGTCGTGCATATCATGAAAGGTCTTTAGCATCTGATAAATCTTTTAGTGATTTGCTTTGCTGCGGCTGCCAACAACATCTGCTGTACTCACCATTTGTCCAGGTCCAGTGCCAGTGCCAGTGAACACAGTGGTATAGCCCTTGTTCTGAGGAGTTGGCTTGAGGTTTCTGCCAGCTTTGATCTCAGCCAGTAATTCCGAGTTGTCTCCAGTGGGTGACATCATGTTGAACGACTTTGTGCCTGTGAGAAGTGGAGGCGAAGGTTTACATGGGGGTGACCAAAAAGGTCCTGATACCATTGCAATGTCTGATAAGTCTTAAGAGAAATTTTGATTTTTTTATGTATAGATAAACAGGGTAGATAGCACGACTTTTTGGTCACCTTGCAGAACGAAAACAGATTGATGGAGGAAGGGTTCCTGAGCAGTTCTAGATCCCAAGAGAGTGAAGAAGGCCCTTCGACTCATTTGACTTCATCCTTCCAGAACACCCATCCCAATTTTCTAATTCAGGGTCCAGCTGTTTGTTAAATGAACCCCAGTGTCTAACCTGAACTACCTGTCCTCGCGACCCATTTCAGCCACTCTCACATCATCAATTAACTGTCTCAAACCGAATACATGTTTTTCTCTTTGTGCATGACTTTGTCGGATCGTTAGAGGAGCCTAATATTTACACACTGAAAGCAGATGCGCTCAATTCCTCATTACACCCAAATGGTATGTCCTTGCCTTCCAGGAGTAGATAAAGGACTTGAGCACAGAGAGAGGGGAGCAATAATATTGCACAGAAGAAGAGAAAACGGAAAACAGCACAGGATCACACGTGCTTAATACACCAGCATTAAGTTGTGGCTGTCAATCCAAATACAACAGAAGGATTTTTTTTTACCCGATGGCCTGTAAGGTTGAGGAGAGGAGGCTTAAGTCTCGGACAGCTTTAGATCCTGGGTCTTAGCATTTTAAATCCTAGCAAGAACTCATGTCTGAATCTTAATATAGTTTCATGCTAATCAGTGCAGCGTCAAGGAAGGGTCTCAATGACATTAACAGCTCTGTTAGTTACATTGAGGTGAGACGACAGCTATGTCTCTCTCTCTTTCTCTCTCACTCTCTATCTGTATTCATCATGAAGCTGATAAAATGCTTATTGAAGGATTAAATAGCCAGGAACAAACAGTTCATTCCAGTTACATTACAGCGATGAAACAACCGTGCGATTGAATTCAAAAGCTTATGAGCTCACAATCTATCAAACTCGCCACTGACACCAGGAATATCAATCTCTGTATAAAACCAATCGATTTTAGTGGAGACTCTTAGATTCAGGACAACGGGAGCAATGGATCAAATAGATAAATAACTGAATGGACACTTTCTAGCCGTGTACAAAGAGCACATCAGGAATGCACGGCAACAAATTGGTGCAAACTATTCATTAGGCAAGACGTTAGCAGCACACACACTAAAACGTGGACAGAATGATGGAACTTCCTTGCAAGCTTTAAATGCAAAGGTTACAGAACTGGTCGAAGAGAACGTCGAGGATATAACTTCACCAAATACCTTGCTGCCAGACTGCTGGTTCAACTCTCAAATCTGTCTCCGGCCAACAGAGGTGCTCCACCCGGTCGGTCTCATGCCTTAGCAACTCAGAGTAAATAGTGACGAGAGATCAGCTTGCTGATCACAAAGCCCGCCCAGGTATAAACATCCCTCAAGGGAACGGGAGAAGCCATCAAGGCGGAGTTTTAATGGTTCAATCCATTTCGAATCAACCCTAATTAGAGCAGTTCTGACGTGTACATCACCTACTGACCAGCTGATGGGAAGACGGCACTTCCACCACAACAGCAGCAGCAAATGATATTTGTATGGCGCCTTTCACGTCAGGAGGACATCCCAGTGAGGAGACTTGGCTTTAAACCAGTACGCAGAGATTAAGGAGAGAGTAACCAGTATGTACAGAGATACAGAGTATGTGGAGTAATAACCCCTTCCCCAGAAAATGAACTAATAATTTGGTCACTCAATCCGTGACTGTTTGTGGGACACTTGGCTGTCTCGTTACACCCACAAAATATCCAGGCAATTTACCACTTATACGATATATTCGGTGACACGCTTAGAAATGTCTCAGTGATGTGATCAGGCACAGAATCAAAGGCAGGGATTATTGTTATTATTATTATTCAATCGCGCTTGGTTGCAAATGTGGGACTGGCATCTGTATGATACAGAGAGGGTCGTGGGGTAGAAGGTGGCTGAATAATTTATCTTTGGGTCGTTTGAGGGGCTGGATTTTGTGATCATGGGGTAGTGCCTGTCTTTGGCCCACCTTGGAGAGCGTTAAAGACTTTGGACTACAAGTTTGAGGGTAAATGATGTATTTTTTTTAGTCCGTCTATCCTCTGTTTAGCTTCAATCATTACTGTGTCTCCAAATCCGTTGTTGGATTACAGCTGAATAATTCATCGTATAACTGCTTAATCAATGAAACATTCAGAAGAGACTTGCATGCAGGTGCCTGTTGCCTGTTTTAATCTGACAAAAAATGACTTTAGCCACGTAGGAAAGATGTTCCTATCTATTATTTATGAGTCAATGGATTGGGAACAACAGGGCTTACAGAGGTATTAGTTCAGAAGCATTTACATTGGGTGTGTCTGTCCACCCATTCGGTCTGGCTCAGATCGGAAATCTCCCAGATCTTATTGGCAGCCCCACCTCACAGTAACAACAGTCAACAGAATCCAATTAAATATTTACTGAAGGAGAAAATGCAAAAGCAATAACTGTATCAAGGCATTCAATCCCCCCTGGCTCTGTTCAAAACGAGAAGGGAGGTTCACTCTCTCTCTCACTTGGGCCAACAATCCCCCAAATGAGATCGCATTCACTTCACGGGTTTTTGAGGGAAGTCTCTGGGCGCAAATTGGCTGCCGCGTCTGGTGGGATAGATACATTTCGAAGGGCTTTGCTGGAAATGCTGTCTCGTAGCCAAAAGTTGTGGTGATTTTGTCCAGAACCAAGTCAAGTCCTGAAAACAGCCACGGGACGAGTGATCTTGGTGTATTGTTGGCCAAGGACATCAGGGGGGAAATCTCCCTTCCTTTCCAATTGTTTTGTGGGATCTCTAACAAACAACCTAACAGACAGGCGGAACCTCAGTTTAATGACTCCGGCTTTCAAATTAAGACTGAATTGATGAATTTTTCACAGTTTTGAGCGATATTTAATTTTAAGGCAAAATGATCTCACGGGCTAAAAGTTGGTTGAATTTGAGGCGGATGAAATCTATTGGAAGACATCACATTTTTTCACCTTCAGATTGACAGAAACGGAACAAAATACACCTGCGCGACCCCCATAGTGTCCTACGCTAATTCATGCATCTACGGAAACAAACTAGAATAAACGCACCACAATATGCCGCAGAGCTCCTGAACACTTTAGAAAATGAAACTCACATTAAGCTGAAAAATAAATCTCCTGCATCGGGATTGATTTCCGCAATGCGTCTACTTTGCCAGGCCACGAGAGCAATACAGTCAAAATCTGATAAGACCACACTGATTTATATTACACCCGTAGAAAGTTTGATTTCAATAGCACTTGCCTTCTTTCTCCCCGATACAGGAGGTTCAGTCGATAAGAGTTAGTCAGATCTGAGTGTCTTCCTACTATGACAATGTGATCTTATCCGCATCTCACTGTATGTCACTGAAAACACGCTAGTGCAAAGGTGAGGCAAACGCTACTGTAATTGGTTAGCAGGTTACTCACTCTTCATTTGTCTTGCTCCTTTGCGGTCTAGAGGATGAGAAAACATTGAGAGAGGAAAGGTAGGCAGACGGGAGCAGGGGATTACCGATTCCATCATAACGTTATTCATCGTTGACGGGAAAATCCCATGGCAGGTTGGGGGAGGAGAGGAGAAGAAGGATGGGTGGAGTGGAGGGGGGGTGGGGGGGGGGTGAGGAAAGAAGAGGCAAGGTGTGACAGTGCCGTGATCCGAGCAAGTGATGGGACACAAGGGAACATTGTTTTGTTCACGAAAGGAATGATCACAACACGAGACAGGAGAGAAAGTAGAGAGATAGAAGGGACCAAAAACCAAAGAGGAGGAGAAGTCGTTAGCAAATGCAGAGAAAGAACACAACAAAACAAGGTGACTAAAAAAAAAAGTGACCTGTGACGTGATCATTATCTCATTGTAAAACGTTGCGGTCCAATTTAATTCTCAACTGGTTTGGGTGTGAATTTGTTATCTCCCCCCACCCCCTCCCCACCTTTCCCCGACTTCAACACAAAGGTTTGGCCCAAGCCTCCGAACACTTGTCACATCATTGATGTTGTCACCCGCAGTTGAGTGCCATCTAACATGAGTTGGGCCTACATTCAGGCTTCAGGCCAAACAATTCTATCAAAGGGAAACGGTTGACACTAAAACCAGATATTTTAGAGGAAAACATCTTATTTGGGGCTGTGATTTGAGTGATGTGAGAATTTTTCACCATGTTTATGAGAGAGCGGTATGTTTTCTGAGGAGGTGAGAAGAGGGTACGACGGTTGGTGGGGAGGGCATTTATTCCAGACAAATTATTTGCAAAAGCACTTAATCAGTGTGGTCTACCCAGATATTGTCTACGTTTCCACAGACATGTCTCCAGCTTTCCTTATCAAGGAAATCTGTTGAGCAATACCACAAATTAGGTCCCATTAGAGATACTAGTGAGGCCAAATTTGCGGTATTTCTCAGTGGGTTTTCTTCATAAGAAACATGGCTCTCACAGTGAATCTGCTCCTCATGTTGGTGGCTTTCTGACAAGACAACCGTTGCAAAATGCGAGTGAATTTTTGCAACAGAAAAGGCCCAAAACTTGAATTCCACGGATAAAAAGGACAGTTAAGTAGAAAACACAACACAAGAGATGATATATTTTATTTGAGAAAGCGTACACAGTGTTTCAGAAACGTCCCAGCACAATCTCTTCAGTAGGCAGTCAGCTTTTAATCAGATGTCTTTCGGTCGGCCAGGTGTCTTGAGGATCCAAACCAGATTGAGAGTTCCACATACATAGGGAATTTTCTAGGGAAAATTCTGGGAAATGTCTGGAAGGGAGTGCATGCTCTCTCCCCAGGCAGGAGATATAGACACACCCTGCTTGCCGAACCCCAAAAAGGATTTGGCACTGGTTGGCAAGAGCCCCCCCACCCTACACACAGATAGGCCGTTCATGAGGAACAGCAACAATAAAAGCATTTGCGTTTGATTCAGTGCCTAACATTGAAATGTTTCGAAGTCCTTCACGTGTAAATTGTTGTCAAGTGAAGTGAGAGTGCAGGTTGGGGGTAACTCCTTGAGTTTAACTAACTTCCACAAAGGGAGATATGCAGAACTTGCTTGGAAAGGTCAGCTTAAGAAGCCATCACCTCCCCTGACACTAATGTGTGAGGGACGTTGCCAGTTCCTCGCTAAGGAATCAACCTCAGTACATTGTTTTTCGTAAATATTTCACTTCCAATAAAAAGACACGTGGTTGGTGGAGGTTGGCATAAGTTACCAGGTATCAGAAGCAGTTTCTTCAGGAGATGGGGGGGGTCAAAGGAGTCACAAGTTTACCAATGGAATCTAAAAAAACCTTTCTTGGCTGTATCCTGTCTTCTCGCCACTGAAGGCAGTGTAGAATAAGAGGCACAATGTTAAACACACAGATAGGCCATTCATGAGCAACGATAAAAGCAATCCCTTATGTTTGATTCAGCACCTATGACATTGAAAAACATCTCAAAGCGCTTCACATGTAATCGCTTTCAAGTGTAGTGACTGAATTTGTAGGCAAATGCAACAGTCAAATTGCTCTCAGCAAGGTCCCACAAACAGCCATGAGATGAACGAGCAATTAATCTGTTGGATTGCTGGCCAGGACAGACCGAGTGAAACTCCTTTCTCTTTTTGAATAACGTTGTGGGATTTTTAATGTTCACCCGAATAGGCAGCAGAGACAACACCCAGAGGCCTAACCCACCAGAACTAGGCCTAGGATTAGAGGAAGAGCTCTCTCTCTTCAGACCCGTCTGTGCTCTTCAACATTCTGTAGCTCTGTGCCTCTGGGTTCAGAGATTCAAACCTCGGTGGCGCGCACTTGTCTTAGGGAAATCCCATTAAAAACTCCACCAGGATTACTCAGTTATTTCTTTGCTACGAAATCTGGCCACAAACCTCTCACATTTTTTATTTGCCCCAAATAACTATGTTCTCCTCACATTTCCAACCCTGGGTGTGTGGCCCTTCTTGTTCCCGAACTGTGTTGCGCTCACGGTACGTCAAAATTGGGCATTGGCTAATTTCAGGGGAGAGAAAAATTGGATTCAACCAGCTGCGACCATTCGGGGAGGGGAGAGGAAAGGGTTAAGCTTCCGCTCCAGAACCTGATCACCTCAGGCAGGAAATCAAAGGCCTCTTTGGGCCACAGAAGAAGCCAATACTTACTTCCAGCAGATGAAGAAGGCCTGCGTTGGCTGTTGCTGGGTTGCACACTCTCTGTTGGCAACGGAGGGGGAGGGGGAGGCGGAGGCGGGGGAGCAGTTGACGAGGCTTCGGGGAGTGGGGGAGGGGGAGGTGGCGGGGGCATCTCGTTGGTCGGTTGGGTCCTGGGAACAGTGCCGTTCCTCACCACTTCCTCGGGTGTGCCCTGGAGGACATAACAAACAAACCGTGAGTAAGATTCTCCAATGGCCAATTGGTACATTATTATTATTATATTATTATTATTATTATTACCGCAATCTCTTTTACCACAATTTCCAGATGTGCGGGTAGTAAGATCACCACATTGATTTAGCCTGGGAATGATGACCAGGGCAAAACCAAAACACAAGGGGCAATTAACACCCAGGTTGTTATTGCGAAGGATTTTCATAACAGGCCACATCAAATCCGTTATGAAACATCACATTTTTCCAGTTTTGTCCAAATGCATTTATCCAAATATGTCTGAATGGTTCACATAATGCCGTTCAGACCATTATTCGTGTTTCGTGTTTAAACTGGAATGTGAAATGTTGATTTTTTTTTAGCCTCTTTAGAGCGAGGTTTAAACCATCTGTTAGCTTTTGCTAAACATATGGACAGTGAAAGAGCTAATCAAAGATTAGAATGGGCTGCAATCTGCTATTTTACTGGAACTTGGCACTCTCTTGACTTAATTTTCATCCTGATATCTGAAGCAAAATGGGGTGAAAATTGTCCCCTTATCACCAATGATAATTATCACAGCATGCTTTACAATTTCTGCTTTACACCTAAACATGTCTTTTGCCCCCAAATATTATTTCAGCCCAATCCCTAACCTCAAATAATTATGGGGGAGTAATCCCGTATTAAGATTTTCAGAATCAAAACTTGCCTTGCAATCACTGAAGGATTAACCAAGTGTATGTTAACTTAAGAAAGAAACCTTATTCACATTGTTATTGTTTCGCAACTGATTTCATTGTGTTTGGGATAATAGGAGCCAAATAGTTGACGTTAACACTTTTAGGGAGTGGTGAGGGGTGGGGGTGGGGGGGGATTCTTCTTTTAAGAAACTTGCAGAAAAACCCATCGTCAAAGCAAAGACTTTGTTCAACAACTCACCAAATTGTGGATTTTGTAAAATGCTACGTCAACAGAGTAAATCTCTTCCTCTTCAACGGAACTGTGAAAAATCCTTAAAATCAGTCTTAACTGCGATGCCGTTTTTCTCCCCTCACGGTTCTCACAGAGAACCGGATTGCGAAAGCACGAAGACACTTGTAAGAACGTGTAACAATTCCGCGCTTAGATTTCGGGGGAAAATTGTCCTAAAGGCTGAGACTAGGTAGAATTTCAGGCCTTGGGCATTCGGATGAATGGGCTGTTCTTTGCACTAGATATAGATAAAACTCACCTCCTCATTCGGTGCCATCTCACTGATATCCACTGTGTCGCTTCCAAGACACTTGTAATAATCTCCTGTACTGGGTTGTTTGTCGAAACTCCTTGACTTCCGACTTGAGTCTACCCTCCGCAATCTATCTGGATTTATTTCATTAGGGTTTAACTGTGCATCGAAGGGAAAAGGAGGGCAGGAGTAAAGAGGGAGAAAGAGGGCCATGATAAACCGATAACAGTGAAGCTAACAAGACAGTCATTTGTAACACTGAAGATCAGTGAGCCGATAAAACGCTGGGGTTTAATAACAGGCCACTTCTGTTCTCTGAGCTGTTTCTCAGCCAAGAAATGTCTCGGATTGGAAGCTAAACGATGGTTGTACAATGGCCTATACTGACATCCGCAGTTGCAATCAATTATTTTTCAGCTAACTTGACGGAGGGTTGCGTGATTTCATGCACGGAGCAGCCCCACTCCTTTGAAGCCCGAAAATACCACCTCGTCTTAGCCTGAAAGACCCTCTTCTCCTACAGTTTAAGATGGCGCACAACCGTGGCAAAGTCTTAAAGTCGGTCTCGACTTGGAAACCGTTTTTTCCACTGTTCGTAAAGAGAAAGCGGCTTCACAAGTGGAGACTGAATGTGTCGCACAGGCTAGGACCAGGAGGAATTTTGAGCCTCTTGCTTCTTGCTCCAGTCTTTTGCCGTATGTCTGTTTTGTTTGCCAGTTTCCAAATCATTGCAGGTTCCCCAGAGTTGTACACAGCTCATCAATACAAGCCGCATTCACTGACTAACACCTGATATGGTAGTGCGGTAAACAACATGTGTATGTGTGCGCATTCCATCCAACTTTCCTCTTTCACATGCTCCAAGGAGGTAAAGGGTGCAGGTTTGGCAATGGAGACGGACAGTTTGGATGGAGATAAAGCAATAATGGGAGTTACATAATTGACCTCAGTATCCCTGGATTAGAGAGAGAGATATAATGGTGACACTTCTGAGTTGGGTTTTGGAAATCTCTCAAATTCAGCCTTGGAAGCCGATTCTCCCACAGTTACTTTCAAGCGAAAGCTCCCACATTAAGACTGAGTTTAAAAATTCTCTACCCCACCTCCATCCCTCCACAAATAAGACACACAGCGTTAAAGTTCAGGCTAAGAGCATGAGAAATTTCAGGACTTCAGGTGAGGTTGGTATGAGTGTTGACTGTGATGTCTCCCCTCCACCCACTGTTGAATTAACACTCGCACATCAGCAATGATCATTTGGGTTGGGTAGTAGTTGCCAACTGTAGAACCTCCACTTCCTCCCCTCATCAGTGATGGAGAAAAGAGGTCATAAATGCCTCGTGGAGAGAAAACAGGGAGTCAGGAGAAAAATTTAGGCTGCGGTTTGATAAGTTAAGAAAAAAACACTGCAATACGGAGAGATGGGTGAGACAAGCCCCGGTAGTAAAGGAGTTCAGCTCTTCACACTCCATTACCCATGACTGCAAAAAAAACACAACCGTTCCCGTGTGGGCACAAAGGGGCAGCTGCCGAACACTGACAGGCAACGTAAACGCCTCCGGGGGAAACTCTTGGTGATAAATAAAAGCCGATTACACGACAGTGTGTGGGCGGTAAGCTCCAAAGTTCTGCCGTGAAGTCACGTAGGCTCAGCTGGGATACACAGTGGGGCGTTTTTTGCCAGCAGGGGTGTTGTGGGGTGGGAATAGGTGAGAAGCGGGGGGGAGGGGAGGGGGGGTGGTAGAGAAGGAATGGCGGAACAGGGGTGAGGGCCAAAACTAGAAGACTAGGAGCGAAGATGCACATCGAGACTAGGAGTGAAGACATGCACCCAGACTAGGAGCGGAGGGATAGAGGAGGCTAGAGGAGTCAGTGTAGAGGGGCGAGAGAGGCACTTAGTGTTAATTATTAAGTTAGACAAGAGCCCTGCCCTGCCTAATAAGTAATTTAGAGAGGGTTTGAGAGAAAGGAGAAAATAGGAGAGAGAGACAGAACTGGAAGCGGAAAGAGGGTGAGGAACTGGGCCTACGCTGCTGATGTTGGCCAAAAGACTAGACTTGTAGGGACAGTCACAATGGTGTGAATGGATAGAACTACAATTTATGGACCAGGATCTTGCTGGCTCCATACCGGTCCATATTGAGTTCGCTGGTCTAAGGCTACGATCTCAGCCTTCCCAGGGTTAGCGAGGGTCAAGTCAGCTAGGCTCCTGATCCTGGTCCCTCTGCTGGTTGTGTGCGCATATGGCAGACTCACTGTCTACAGAATCTGTGTGTTTTTGTTCCTCTCCCTTGTGGGGGAACGCTCAAACCCACTGTGTCACTCCCTGTTGCTGTCCCCGCTGAGATCAACTACCGCACAAAGACCACACCCAATGCTGATCAATACCAAGGAGGTCACCTACGATGGGCCAAATGCCCTCCTGTGTAGTAAGATTCTATGATTCCAGTCTGTTTAGCGATTTGAGATATCTTCCTGACATGAAAGTCACTGTATCAAATGTAAGGATTATTATTATTATTATTAATAAGGGATGATCTGATTGAAGTGTTTAGAGTAGTGAGTTGAATTGACGAGCTCGTCAGGGGACAATGTTCCCTTTGGCCAGCTCAGTCCGTGCCTTCAAAACCAAGTGTTAAGAATTTAATGGTCTTCTCAATTAGCATCCAGACAGAACAGTACACAGGCTTGTACGTTCCCTCAATGGAGGTTGGAGGAGAGCCAGCGGGAGTCATTAACCCTGGGTTAAGACTAAACCCACTGACCCGTTGAATCGAGAAAAACAAATAACTTTTTGTTGCATTTTAAATACCCACTCTCTACCACCAACACCTCCCCCACCCCCATTAACCTTTTAACCATCCTCTGTCTGTTTTGGTGACTGAAGAATTGAGAGGAGACAGACAGGTACGATTGAAATAATGACCCCCCCCCCCCCCAGTTGTCCACTGCAAGCAGGAGGAAGGTACTGTAGCGTGAGTGAGCTTGCACTGCGCACATACACCCCATTACTGGTTAACAAGGTACCCTGGACACCAATCGAGCTAAGACAGTAAACATGGCATCGTAAATATCTACAACATAAAAGGAGGCCATTCAGTCCATCGTGCCTGCTTCTCCAAAAAAGAAAGCCATTAACTACTGCTCGCCTGCCTTTTCCCCAAAACCTTCCTCCTTCCAGATGTTTAACCCATTCCCTTCCGGAGCTGTACAGAAACATTGCGATCGAGATCTAGAGCAGAGCATTGGGAAATTCATATGTTCTTGTTAAGAGCGGCAGGAAAACACTTTATCTCTTTCTCTAGCAATCTATCCTGTCTCTTTCTGTTTTTTGTCAATGCTTGTTATTCTTCTGAACTTCTCGCTCTCTGTCTCTCTTTTCCCCGAGCAGACTGTTCTACCCACTCTCCCTCCACACGCTCTCCTCCCCCACTGTATTGAAACAAAACTCACGACACCATCTTCCTCTTTCGACACTTGAAGAGCGGGTGCCTAGAGAAATCAGCGCTCGAAGGGTTAAGTATTGAAATCAGCGCAGCACCCCCCACCCCCCACCCCCTCCCACTCCTCCACCAGCTCTGTAATAGCCAGTTTGTTGTGCGGTAATACTTTCAAATTGGGAATTACAAAAGATTAGGATTTGGTAAGATATATTGACAAAAAAAGCTGTGTTGGTAGACGTGGATTTCTTTCCGTGAGTTGAACTCCAAATCCTCATGGCTGCCCAGTGCCAGCCCTGCTCATGCCTCAACAACAACAACAACAACAACAAATTACATTTGTGTAGCGCCTTTCACGTTCAGGAGGACGTCCGAAGGTGCTGCCTGGGCTGGAATTTGGGCAGGAGGCTTCCTGAGATGCATTGGGAGATTTAACACAGGGATGTTTCCCTGGTAGTTCCTTACTATCCCTGACATGGGGGAGTCTGACTTCGCTGGTGAGCAACAAAATGCTCAAACCTGGGTCCCACAACTAGTACAGCATCATGACGCTGTGGGCAATTGGTTGCCGCGTTTCGCCCGCAAAGTACACGGTCAATCCACTTTGCAGCATACTCTGTGAAGCGCACTGAGACGTCTCAACGACGTGATGGGCCGCTGGATCAAGCTCAAGGATTATTATCCAAGATACCCTCTTGTGGAATCAGAATTCAATTTTTTCTTTCCAAGACAGGCCGTTGAGAGCAACGATAACGAGGCTGACAAATAGCCAGGAGGTCAAGCTCTGCTCTTTTCTCAACTACGCCAAAGAGGGGGGGGGGGGGCAATTAAACAACAACAACAACTCTCGTTTATACAGCTCCACTCGTGCAGGGTAGCGTCCCAGAGGGCTTGACCTTAGAAAGGCCCATTGGGCTCACGCCCGCAGATGTTTCTGTCTGTTTAAACACCTCAAAGGAAGGGATGATTTTTTTTAAAAAGGCATTTTTATCAGCCGTTAAAAACGCCCATTAAAAATTAACAATGATCCATTCAGAACTGGCAAGTGATAAATGCCCACGGTTTATTGCCGAGAGGCAGCTCTTTGAAGTCCAGACCATTGTCTTTAACTCCACGTCCGCCCAGTTTAAATTAAAAACACTTCAATATGTCCTTCACTGACAGGAATCCCCAGCTATGTGTTTGCATAAAGAAACACACGCTCTGTCTCGCTTCCAGTTTCGTGTTTCAGTGACAGCAGTTTTGCCAATCGATGAATGAAACGCTCTCGTTGAAAACAAACGCAGTTCTGGACAAGGATTCAACCCAATTAATCAGAGAAACAGTCAAGGGCGAGAGGCTGAAATGTGAAATAGAGATTTACAGTGTGTGTGTGTCTATATGTGTGTGTACCTATTGTGTGTGCCTATGTGTGTGTGTGTCTGTGTGTGTGTGTGTCTATGTGTGTGTCTGTGTGTTTGTGTCTGTGTGTGTCTATGTGTGTGTGTGTCTATGTGTGTGTGTCTATGTGTGTGTCTATGTGTGTGTGTCTCTGCATGTGTCTGTGTGTGTTAAGAGCTTCTGATCACTGCAACAGTTTCTTGTACAAAGTTTGACAGAAGCATCTTTGTCCCACTTTGTACTCTCTCAGATGCTTCTCCTGCACGTTGCTGGAGAAGCTTAAAACTGAACCACATCACCTGCGAATTTTCAATCCAGTTTGGTACAGAAATCCAACTTGAAGAACGTAAGAATTTGCTACGTAGAATGTACCGCCCGGCTTAAGCCAGGGGTCAGGTCAGAGCGAAAACCGTTGCACACACTCCAACGAAACACAAGCGCCGAGACTTCGAAACGGAAGGAGGTTCCCCAGCTTTGAAACTCTGCTTCGCTAATTCTGATTAGAATTAACACGGAGAAACGACGGTCAACAGCGACGGCACAAAAATACCGGGGGACCAACAAAGCCGTCCGGATCACAACGGGCTTCAAGGATTGAAGTGTTTGACTTACCGGAGTTTGCATAAGGAGAGCCCGGTTCCAACTCCCACCACAGTCAAGTACAGTAATTTTAAAGATCACTCATTACCCCACAAGCGATACCTGACACACTAGTTGCACTCTAGCTACCGTCTACTGTTACTCTGACCCTTAATGAATAATGCAAACCTATCAGCTGAAATATCAGTGACATCATTCATATATACTGCCCAATCCCTTCACTCTGTTGGCTTTCTCTCTCTCTCTCTCTTTCTCCACTCGCTCTCTTTCTCTCGCTCTCTCTGTGTCTCTGGTACTGAAGAAGGAATGTCCGTCAGGTTATCCCTCCCAAGTAAATTCGAGGCACAACAATGCATCAGAGTCACAGGCCAGTCGCAAATACCGTAGAAAATAAACGATTCATATGTTTGGACGGATATCAATAAGTTATGGATTCTTTTCGCGTCATCTCATCTTCTGTGAAGCGCTTTGAGATGTCTCGAAGACGTGATAAGACGGTGTATCAAATGCAAGGATTATTATTGTATTATAATAATCATAATTAAACATAATTACCCCGAAAAACACGTGATTGGGAATTTCTAAAGCGTAACATTGTCTCACGGATTTTTGATTTTTATGGCAATGATAATGCTGAAGCGGCTAACAATGATTGTTGCCATGTGTAGTGACTGTTTTTTTACATTTATGCACACAGCACTGTGAGTGGAAAGTCCCCACCAGCACGATACTGGAATCCATAGCCTTTTGACCCAGCGGCAAGAACCCAATCGACTGAGCCAGGCTGACACCAGACACCATGAATGCAACAGATTATTGTTCAGCACTTGGTTATGGATGTTTAGACACTGCTGTTGTATGTCTCTGCATTCATTTATTCCTTTTAAAATCACTCTTTCTCTCTCTCGCTGTCTTTCACTCTCTCTCTCTCTCTCTGCATCTCTTTCCCTCCTAGTTTTACACAAAACTTTATCCTTCTATTGATCTCCCCCGCAAGTATCTTTTACCCAATTAATGAATTGTCACCAAATACTTAAAGGAGACAGCTTTAATTTTTAATTAGCTGGTAACGTGTTTGTGGCCGATGGTCAAAATCACAAGGGAAAATGCCACTTAGAAGAAATCAGATAATTACACAAAGGAACAATCTGGAAAAACATTACCTCCAAGCAGATAATTCTGCTAATTGGTGTATCCGTGAGCAAGGAGATTTTTTTTATTATTATTTTGCATCTTCTAATGTGCAAATTGCCTATTAATAACACGTCTTGATGGGATTGTTCTGCTTACAATTAGCACCAATTAATTCCACGACCGCAATGCACCAATTCCATACAGTGCTGCTGTTGATTCTAACTTACTTCTAACTCTTAATGGATTGAACATAAAATGCCCGATCGTGGTTTATTTCCTTGGATTTTCCGAGCATCTGCAATTTGGAAAATATTGAACTCAGCCTGAACTTCGATGCTGGTTTCTTTAAAGCAGAATTAGGGAGAAAATCGTTTTCGAAATTAAAAAACGTATTTAAGGATTTGCCAAATTCTGAATGCGATAAAAGGAACAATAAAGTGAATCAGGAATTCGTACTGGAAGGTGTTAAGTCTGTCTCAGTTGGTACCACTCTCATCTCGGAATCAGGTTTGGTCAAGTTCAATTGGAAGTTAAAGATCCCATGAGCGTATTCGAAAAGGGAAGGGAGTTTCTCCCAGTCTCCAACTGTGACCCCACAATAAAATTGGTTGTTCATTTAATGGTTGTTTGCTGGACATTGCCAGATGCATATTGGCTGTCATATTCTTCTACAATTGGTACACTTTGCAGAAAATTTCTTGTGGTATTTTGACGTGTTAAAGCGCTGTATCTCAAGCGCTCTGGGACGCTATCCCGTGCGAGGGGCGCAAGTTGTTCTTGTTATACGTCAAACTGCAAGGATTATTGTTATAATAAGGACCATCGCTGTTTGCAGAATGTGACCGCTACACACTTCTTATTCGGAAATCTTTGTAGAAATAGAGCAAATTAGCTCCCAGCAGGTTTGCCTTGAGTACGATGCACTTTCTACACTGAACGCCAATTTGGCTTTGCACAGGTTAAGTAAGTTCGATTGCATGGCAGAGTCTCAAATTCATTCCCCTCGCCTGTTCTCCTGGCCTCCTCTGAACCTGCTGAGTCTATTGACTCGCGCTGTGTCAGACCTGCACTTGTCAGCCCACTCAGTGACCGTCAGTCAGCTCAGCAGCGAGGCAGATGTTGCATTAACTTGGGTTCATTGGGACCTCAGCACCTGAGCGTGAGTCAGCTCCCCTTCAGGAGAATGAGGTGGGGAAGAGGAGGGAACAATGGCATTGGCAGAATGCACACATATCACATTGCACGCTTTGTGCCCTCTTCCTATCATTTTATTCTCGGGCTCCAAAAGGTCGAGGCACCTCGGGTTTAACCCATCGAATGCCGTATGGCCTTTGACGTTTTCAGCACCAAGCCTTGAAGCGGATTAGAATCAGGATCACCGGAGTATCGGCCTAGACCCCTGACTTCAAAGTTCAAATCCCAACACTGTCGGAGCTTGAACCCACAACCTTCTGACTCAGAGGCGAGAGGGACCGAGCCAGGCTGACGTTTTGGCCGAGACAGAGAGATACGGAAAGTGGAGCTGAAGCGAGAGGAAGAATGGAGGAGGGAAAAATAGATCAGAGTTGGAGGAGAGGAGAACGGAGGAAAGAAACCCTCCTCTCCCCTCCTCTCTCTTTTACCGCTTATCTCTGTGAAAGTTCGTGCTCATCTCTTCCAGCTCCCTGGAAGCCAAAGCGATCGTTTGACGAACGAACCGTTCCCATCCAACGGGGACGGGCGCGGAATTAATAACGTTAGGCAAGCTAACATGAGGCCGTTTAATGAATGGGGAGTTGGAAGCAATCTAAATTCCCAGGAGATTATTAAAGAATATGAGTTCTGCTCTCACATGAACCTAGTCATTAGCACTAGCTGGACGCTGACTGAACAAAGTGGGTTTTCATAGCTGCTCGGTGATCAGTAATGAAACGTTCAGCGAGCGGGGCAGTTGTGACCTGGTTCCGTGCTCTGCCTGACAGCTCAATCGAGGGTTTATTCACGGTGCCAGAGGGCACTGCGTCCCGTCACAAATAGCTTCACTGCAAAATAACAAACACCGGCCAATGGCGGCGTGTGGGGGGGTCGCCTGGCGCCGAGCGCCTGCTCACCTGGCTGACTGTTACCTGTGCCGGCACTGAGCCACTTTGCCGGCGCTTCTGCCCTTGCTCCTCTGCACCTGATCTGAGCCAGAGTCATTTGAACCAACTCCCAGTGACGCTGGCCTGGCCCTCTGCGCTTTCAGATACCTAGCGCTCTGGGACACCGCCCTGCGTGAGGGGCGCTGTCTAAATGCAAGTTGTTGTTGTTGTTGTTTGTCGTACACAAGTATACGGCTTGATTTCCAGTTGCCACGGCAACAAATGTACCTTACAACGCCCCCTCCCCTTCATCCCTCCCTCCTCCTCCACCACCCCCACTTCCTCCCACCCCCACTTTTACACTCCTCACCTCGTATCTTTTTGAGACATCATTATCTACACGTCGGAGGTTGCTTTTGACCTGCATGTACATCTCTCCGGAAGGCTGGACCTCGGGGGGGTTTGGCGCTGGATAGCCGGGCGGAGGGGGGGGCTCAGAGTTCACTGGTGTCGGGGGCAGAGGTGGGGGGAAACTGGGGGCCGGCGGAGGAGGCGTGTTCTCTGCTTTATGCCTCCTAGGTCCCGTCTCTGGGTTCAACATGTCCATGTACTCCTGCATGTCCGAGATAGCTGTCTCGTTGACGCCTACGGAAACAAGGGACTTTTCATCAGACACGAGGCAGAAAACAATTGAACGGAAGGACAAATCCCTACCCCGATGTCAAATGAATTTGTTTTTGTTACTGACCACCTCTCTAGGGTGTTTTTCCCCCCCCCCCCCACCTTCTTTTTAAAAAGGGAATTTATTCCAACTCGGTTGGGGAGGGGGGAGAAGTGATCAGGCGGAGTGTAATGCACCACTAGATGGCCCTCCAACACCACGAACTGAGCTCCGCACTCCAGCATGCATGGACCTCCCCCCAGCACTGTGGTGGCGGTGGCAGATGGCGAGCAGGACCAGAAGAAAAGCAGTCTCCAACGGCCTCATCTCGTCACCTGCCGAGCAGCATTTCAAACGACCGCAAATCTGTTGCTTTCACGAATCGAGGAGGCGCTGCCCACAGCAGCCCAGCGGCAACAACCACAGCAACAACTTGCATTTATATAGCGCTCCTCACCCAGGGTAGCGTCCCAGAGCGCCGAGAGCTCGGCAGCACTTATAGCTGTCAGACGCATTACTTTTACGTGACTGAATTGTCTCTGGAGTTAGCTGGAAAATTCACTGCTTTTGCCCCAATTGTTAGCGAATGCTGATTGATCTCAAAGTCCAGGACTGACACTCCAGCCTCCTCCCTCCCCCACTGGCTCGGAGTCAGGCTCTGCCGCTCGGGGCTCCGACAACACTGCCACACATGAAGGCAGTAATACAAATGCAAGTTGTTGTTGCTGTTATATAACATAATAATGATCCTTGCATTTGATACAGCGCGTCGAGACGTCTCAAAGCGCTTCACGGGATACACTGCAAAGTGCTGTGTTGTGTGGGCGAAACATGGCGGCCAACGAAGGAGCAACGACAGCTGTTGGCGTGTGGCGACGTACCTGGGCCCTGTGCGTGCTGGCTGTTCCTCTTCTCTCCGGTGCTCGACTGGCTCGAGTTACAGGATTCGTAGTTGGAAAGCGTGCTGGAGGGTGACCTGATGTCGTAGCGAGCCTGCTGCTGTAAGGACATCGTGGTGTTGGGCGACGACATGCCCGAATCCGGCTGTTTGTACTCAAGATCCGCCGAGGGATCCCGGGATAAGACCCGATGTTCCACGCTCTGAAACACAGCACGAGATCCGGGTCAATCAATTCTATTCTTGCTTCCTCACACACACGCACACACACACACACACAAGCGCGCACAATTTTCTCCCCTCCTGAATTGTGGAAAATTCACAGTTATAATAAATAATAATATAACAATAATCCTTGCACTTAATATAGCGCCATATCGTGTTGTCGAGACGTCTCAAAGCGCTTCACAGAATATACTGTAAAGTGAACTGACTGTATATTTTGTGGGCGGAACACGGCAGCCAATTGCGCACAGACAGAGTCCCACAAACAGTCGTGAATTGAGTGACCAAATTATTATTGTTATTTAGCTATTTATTTATTTTTGATACTAGGTTTACGCTTATTAATATTAAAGCTGTTTGATAATAAGCCCTTGTTACGTCTGTCTTCCTTGCAGTTCAAAAGCGGAACTCAATAAGACAATGTATTCAAGAATTGAGTAACTAGTTGGAATAAATAGTATAATTTTAGCGCAGAATTACTGGACTTGGATATTGTACTGTAGAGGTGTCTCCACTAACCCTGTTGCTTCCGAGAATAATTTTAATAATAATCATTGCATTTGATGCAGCGCCTTATCAAGTCTTTGAGACGTCTCAAAGCGCTTCACAGAATGTACTGTAAAGTGAACTGACTGTATACTTTGTGGGCGATGACACTCAGCAACCAGCCACAGCTTTGAGATATACTGTCCGAAAGCTCTTTGGTGAGGTGGAGAGATCTTACCTTGAACGGGTCTATTGCTATCTCTTCAGAGATAACCAGCATCTTCCTACAGAGAGCTCTAATCGAGCTGCCTCTACAGAACGGAGTCGCTTGTGAGACCAATGTGGAGTGAGAGATTCCACGTGTGGTCGAGAGCGACACAAACAACCCCACTTCTCTGAAAAGAGAAGGCTCCCTCAGGGCTACAAGGCAAAATAATTAGGCTTTGTCGTTCCGTAAAGCCACGGCAGTTAACACTTCACTGCCGGGGCTAGAAGAAGGCTGTCACCTTGGCTATTTCCCCGATGTGCTGGATTTTACCCGTGACCCCAGCACCAGCCGAGTGGTTCTCTTACCATGTTCTCCACGGTCCTCAGGTACTTCGCACATTGGCTGTGTCCATTGTATTCAGCAAGGTCAGCCGCTGTGTAGCCGTCAAGGTCACGGACACCCAGGTCAACCCCATTGACCACCAAGATCTGGCAACACTGCGAGAAGGTGAGAGAAGAGCGAGGCATAAACGAGAAAGGACCGAGCTACACTGCTGTCGAAAAGCCTCAAGGCCCCCTTTGCAATTTGGCCGTGATCGCTAGGAGTGTTGCAGGCAATTGCAGCAGCCATTGTGAGGTCCTCCAAAGAGCCACGAGGTGATTGAGCTGTCACCAGTGGGGGAATTGTTAGCCAGGACACCAGGGGCAACTCTCTGCTCTTTTTTTTCTGTAGCAACCAACGTGGCGTGGACGTGAACTGCCGATCCCTGACTGTCCAGGGCCTTGGGATGTCTTCCTGACGTGAATGGTGCTAGATAAGTGTAATCTGCTGCTGTTGTTGGTGTTGTTGTTGAAGTCAACACAGCAGCAGACAAAGCTTCGCGACGGGAGCAAAGCAACAGCAACTTGCATTTATAGATAGCGCGCCCTTCACATAACGTCTTGGGAGCGCTCAGCGAGTCAAGACACAAGCGTGTCCAACGAGACGTCCATTGTCGGGCCTGGCCGGCTTCTTGGACACAGCCGTTGAGAAGGGTTTAAGGGGTTCCTCTGTCAGTGCTGCGACCGTGTCATTCATGCTATGTCACCAACTGTCCAGTTCATGCTACATCAGTACGGTATCACATGGCTAGTCCTTGTACTGACACGATACCGTGCGCATGTAAGTGTTAATTTAATAGCTTAACCTACGGAGATTTCAGGCTAACGCAGGGTAACCAAACCCTGGCCAATTACACGGTCGACACCTGTTGCTGTGGGAAAACAAGGCTGGCCTCAGGAAGGAAGGAAGGAAGGGTGGGGAAAAAAATCAGGACCTATACATTAAGCTCAACCGACGCAGAATACAACGAACCAAAGGGGAAGTGGCGTCTCTGGTGAGTAATTTCAATTTAAAGCACCCGCCTCTGTTAATTCAAAGAGTTGTTTTTTTTGTTGCTTTAGGAATTCATTTCCTTCGAGAGAGGAAGTGATGAGATGGCTCGAGCTTTTCTTGTGCAGCTCTGATAAATTATCCTGCATACTGAAACACGTCACTGAGCTCACTGGCCTTCCCCGGTTAATCAATTCCCACCTAATGCTGCGTACCAGCAATCCATAATTGTCCGTAGGTCATGTTACGTCGATAATATGTCCAGATTGATGAACCTACCTCGAGTTCCCCATTCTCAGCAGCGTCGTGTAGGGGTGACCCGCCCCAGTTGTCTATGGCAATTTCACCTCCGTGCAGCAGTAACCAGCTGAGGACCTTAGCATGCCCCCTACTGGCAGCAAAGTGCATAGCTGTGGCCCCTTCGTCATCCTGGTCCGAAAGGCTAATAGCTGTGAAGCTCACCTGGATAGAGGAGCGACAGGCAAACACTAACATAATGATAATCATAATAATAATAATAATAATCCTTTCATTTGATATTGCGCCTTATCACGTCTTCGAGATGTCTCAAAGCGCTTCAGGGAATATACCGTACAGTGGATTGACTGGGTATTGACAGGGTGGTTTCTCAGCCTGAGCCCTGACCCAAACAGAACACACGGCAAATTGAGCAACGTCGAGCTCGGGTAAGGCCATCTGCTCCCTGAAAGCCTTACCAGCCACACGATGACCATGTTGTGCCCCATTTGTGCCGCAGAGTGAAGGGCAGTCATCCCATCGTTGGCTCGAATCTGGGAGTTCGCTCCGCATTCCTTCACCAGGGCCTGGACAACCTCCAGGTGACCCTCCTGACAGGCCAAATACAGGGGTGTGGCACCATTTTTCGTCTGTGTATTTACAACTCTGAAAGGAGAAAGAGCAGCATGGATTTATTTGCAACGATACTCAGTACCTTTCGCGACCCTCTAATACGAGAGGACCATTTCAATTCCGCGATTTAAGCTTCTAGCGGTGAAAGATTCAGAAACCCCAAATTTCTCATGGTCTTAAGCCTAAGTCCAAGTCCCGTTGAATTCCTTATTATTTATTAGTTTGCCATAACTCGTGCTTTGCCTACGCCATATCAAATGTATGCTCCCAATTTCTGTAAGGTTTAATGTACAGTAAATTACTGTGTTGCTGTAGTAGCCTTTTTTTTCCCCAGGTAGATGTCCTCAGTCAGCTGCATGAATGGAAGAGACTCCTCCAGCTTCCCAATGCCTATTGAGCAGGGAGTAGCCCATCCTCAAGGACAAAGTTAGCAGGAGCCGGGTGGGAAGAATCCCTCCAAGTTGGGTGTGAAAGCACCAAATATTCACTGGGTGAGATTTGGATACCATTGCTGTTTTGAGTCAGGAGAACGTCTCAGGCTGTTTCGCTCTCTCTCTAATAGCCTCCAAAATATGAGGAGTTTGACCAAAAGCAACCGTCAGAGAGAACATCTTATAAGGAGGCTTTCGAAGGCAGGGAGAGAGAGAGAGAGAGAGGGGACGCAAGGCAAAGGGATTTGGGGAGAGAGCTCCAGAGAGCGGGAAGTAGTGGCTAATTGTTTGGTCATTGACTGGAGGGGATGGAGAATAATCCTGAGTTGGAGGAGTGAAGGGGAAGAACGAGATTGGAAGAGTTTACAGTGCCATGGAGGGATTTGTAGGTTAAGGTCATGAAACCAGTGCGCTTGGAGTCTGGGAGACAGTGGAGCCGGGCGAAGAGAGGAGCCCAGTGTAGGAGAGTCTTCAAGCTGCAGATTTCTGGATAAAGGTGGAAGTAGTTAAGCTTGGTAAAGCACTGATGGTAAAAAAAACAGCCCTGGTAGTATTTATTCACTAACCATGTGTTAAAACAGCCCCCCAAGGAGTCAGCGCTGTGCCTGTAATGCAGCATTAAGCTACTTACATACAGAAACTGATAAATTCTCCGTGGGGCATCCACAAACGGTCAGGCGAGCCGGGATTAGAGCAAGCATTGTTCTAAACTAAGTTGAGCTTCCTCTGCGATGCGAAAGGCATTTGCTGAAGAGGCAGAATGCGGTGCTTAGAACCCGCTGAGCCCGAGCCGTTAGAATCTGAAGCAGGCTGTGTCCAACTCTCCCTGATCCTGCAAATTGCTCAGTAATTCATGCAGCGTGAACAGAGAAAAAGAGAGAGAGAGAGAGAGTGGGGGTGTGGGGGGGTGGGGGTGGAGAGAGAGGTTCATGGCATGGGTTCAGAATGTTCTTGTTCAGTCCCTGAATTTATAACGGTTAAAAAGTTTTGGAAAAAAACAATGTTGAGAGTCCAGTTAAGAAGTGTGCAGAGATCAACACAGACGGCTCCAGGTTGTGTGCACAGCACAGCAACGAGCTGGGCAAGAGAATTAATCAAAGGTAACAGTAGGTGAAGATTACCGCTAAAATTAGATCAGGTAAGACAGCGTTTATCGAGCTAATGAGGCTCTGCGAGGAAAGGATAACAACAGTGTCCACAATAAAGCTTCAAACCCTCCAGTTACTCAGGGACCCAGGAATGTACAGAAACCAAAAGTGTGGTCACTGAAATTAACAGTGACACCTCTACATTGTCTGATATTAACAGTGACATCTCTACATAGTCTGATATTAACAGTGACACCTCCATATAGTCTGATATTAACAGTGACACCTCTACATTGTCTGATATTAACAGTGAGCACCTCCATATAGTCTGATATTAACAGTGACACCTCTATAAAGTCTGATATTAACAGTGACACCTCTATATAGTCTGATATTAAGTGACACCTCTATATAGTCTGATATTAACAGTGAGCACCTCTATATAGTCTGATATTAACAGTGAACACCTCTATTTAGTCTGATATTAACAGTGAGAGCCTCTATATAGTCTGATATTAACAGTGAACACCTCTATTTAGTCTGATATTAACAGTGAGCACCTCTATATAGTCTGATATTAACATTGACACCTCTATGTAGTCTGATATTAACAGTGAACACCTCTATATTGTCTGATATTAACAGTGAACACTGATGTTAGCAGTGACACCTCTATACAGTCTGATATGAGCAGGGACACCTCTAGATAGTCTAGCATCAGCCTGGACATGAGCTGAACATCCTAATGTGAGGGTTTGAACCCCAAACCTCCGACTGGGGATTGGGCACTGTTGCTGAAACTTATACGTGATGCTGTTTCATCAAATTTTTGACCGAAGACAACTTTGCGGGAAACGGATCCCAGAACCGTCAACGTACTTTGACAATGTCCTGAAAGGGCCCCATCTTTAAATCAAAAGCTGTAATTTGTGTCAGTCGCTCACACTCGCAGCAGATATGAGTCAGAGAACGGTTAGAGAAAGAAAAGTGCGGCTGCAGACCCGCGATAGAGCCTTTTTTATTCTTGTTCAATTTGCCGGTTTGCGTGGTTTTGTATGCCTTGTCTTTACGAGCGCAATGCCTACAACTTCAGATAAGGCTGAACACTGAGAAAACAATAACCTTTCGCAACTTAAATGTTATCAGCGGGAAACAGGGCTGTGGAGGCATCGGGGCAGAGCAACCGTCAATCACCGAACTTTAACACCTGCCAGGCTTCAGATACCCCCGTCTGTGCCCTTCCTTGTTCAGGTGGATGTTAAAGATTCCTCGGGGCTTTTCGGAAAGTGAAGGGAATTCCTCCCCGGTGTCCTGGCCAACAAACCCCCAGATACAATTGGTCATTCATTTCATGGCTGTTTGCGGCACGTTGCTGTGTGCAAATTGGCTTGTCGCGCTTCATCTACAAAATAAACAGTTACTACACTTCGCAGCAAATTCTGTCAAGCGTTTTGAGACCTCTTCTCAAGTTGAAGGGTGCTATATCAAATGTAAGGATTATTATTATCAATGTTATAATAAATAAACTGAATGATAGCTTTCAGGTATTTATAAGGAGCTCACAATGGCAATGAAATAAAAAAGTTAAAATTCTTGCATTTGGTATAGAGTCTTTCACATCAAGAGGATGTCTCAAAGTGCTTCACTGGAACGACTGGAAAGTGTAGTGACTGTACACAGTTGTAGGCGAATGCAGAGCTAAGTAAACAGCGATGAATAATAATAACATTAATCCTTGCATTTGATATGGTCTTCGAGACGTCTCAAAGCGCTTCACAGGATAGACTGTAAAGTGAATCGAGTGTATATCTTGGAGGCGAAACAAAGCCGTGAATGAACAATTTTATCAAAATATGTGGGCGATGATACAATCAGCTCGGTGAGGTGGAATTTAGCTCCTGCGCGCCTTCCTCGTCTGTGATGGGTGCGAGGACCTGTTGTTCGGTGTAATAAAACCCCTGGATGTTTGGATACGACCGCACAGACAAGTGACGATACTTACAATTATTAGGGGCCTGTCATTTATTTCACCGCATTCGAGCAAGTCGTCACAGGGGCAAGGAAGGATAGAAATAAAAAAGCAGCCGGGAAATTAACGAGCTCAGAACTTCCCGCGTTGTATCGTGCAGCGCGCAGGAAGTGGCAGCTGCAACGATCTAACGACCTGGAAGTCGTCAACCTTTTCTTTTTACACAACCGTGGGTCCACAGGCCGACTGCCCTGTAACCAAACCCACTTTATAGCAGGGTTTAAACCTGCTGCACAACTCGTATGAGGTCGGGTGAGTGACATTTGGTTCCGTTTCAGGACAGCGAATCCCTTTCTTCAGAAGAAACGTGACCCTATGCAGTCAATTCACTTTATAGTGTGTCCTGTGAAGCGCTTTGAGACGCCTCGAAGACGCGATAAGGCGCTGTATCGAATGCGAGGATTATTATTGTACCGACAGGTAGAAGTATCGGTGTTATCATGTCTCTGGCTGACCTCATTCACTCTATCTCTGCCTGGAACTCGCGAATATAATATCTGATCCTACAAGTCCATTTCCTCAAATAGTTTCCAGTGTCATTACCTTATCTCCTCTCCGACAGACAGACAAAAGGAGATGAGTGACAAGGCCTCGAGTTGGCGTGTAGGTACCAGGAACTGATGGGCTTGATCTGAGTGAGGACCTGCCGGTCGCCGTGACGACCAGAGCAAACAATACCGCGCGGAAAACGCTTCCCCGGCCAGGCCTGGAACATTCCGCCTGGCTGATTAAATGTTAACGAGGCAGGCAGTGGCCCTCCTGCCCGAAGCAGCGACGCAATCAACGTGCGATGAAGAGAGGACCTACACCGTCAGAACGGCTTCTCACGTCGAAACGCCTCAAAGCGCTTCGCGGGGGTGGGTTCAGTTGGCAGGTCCTTTTGCGCTCAGTAAGGTTTCCCCCCCACTCCCGTGTGAGGTGAGTAACCCGGGCCATTGACGGCGAGTACATCAGGACACACACCTGTCTCTTTTCGAACCCCGCCACTTGATTTTTAACATCGTCAACAACAACAGCAACAACTTATACAGCGCCCCCTCATGTTGTTAAATGACCGACAATGAATGCAGTGTCTCCCCCCCCCCCACCCCCACCCCGGCATCCCATTGAGTTCCAAATCTCACGCTGGGGCTTGAACCCCACCCACAACCTCCTGAATCCAGAGGTCAGGGTGCTAGTGACTGAGCCAGATTGACTGATGGTAAGTCAGTCTCAATGTGGGGCCTGAGCCCACAGTCAAGGGAAGGGGCGGGTAGCGCAATGCACAAAAGGCGTCGCCTCCAGAGCGCTGTGATGTGTTTCAATTAAACGCCGTTTCTCAGCCTGCTCAGCTCGTTCCAAGTGGATTTATACACGAGTCCACACCTGTCTACACATGGCGGCTACTAGGTAAACACTAGGCAGAGAAGCACTCGGCTAAAGTTTCCGGGCCCGGTAACTGAAGCCGTCCTCTCGCAGCAGGCAGAAGGAGCAGAGTTGACCTCTCGTTGAATAATTCATCTCACGTCTTAGCTGAGCCAAAGCCTACAGTATCCCTGGAACTCCAGGACCCATCTTACCGCTTAACCTCTCCCTTAAATACCAGGGCTCCCTTCGTTCTCGCTCGACTTGGGTTGTGACGTGAGGAGTCGCGTGCAAAAGCCCTCAGAGGCCGTCTCCCAGAACGCAGCGTCTGTCGGTAGGCGCGAGCAGAGGGTGCACAAGGGGTTAAACAACGTGGCGCTGCATGCCAGTGTCTGCCGTGAATGTGCAGAGACCTCGCCGGAACGCATCGAACAAAGGCAACTTGCCGACAGCCTGCGCGCTCTCGAGCAGAGAGTTCTTGACACGGACCGCCTCGGACGGCACGGAACATTCTAGGCTAATTTGCATGGGCGACGCAATGGCATTTAGAAAGTCCCCGATAGGCCTGAAATTCCACCCAGTCTTAGCCCGCGAGGCAATTTTTCTTTTTCTCTCTCGGAACTTAAGATGACCCGGGCAAAATTCTTCAATTCAGCCTTACCTTGAGGTCCCACAAAAATACACAGTCAACTCACTCGACGGTATATTCTGTGAAGCGCTTTGAGACGTCTCGAAGACGCGATGAGGCGCTGTATAAAACCCAAGGATTATTATTATCAGTTCAGGAGCCAATTCCCGGGGGAGGCATTTAGACTCGATCCTATTAATAGAACCGGTTTCAATGACACGTTGTGAATCTCATTCTTTAATTGCTCTGGCGCGTTAATTCAGGAACTAAACGATTTTGAGGACGCCGCCGTTTTCGGCCCTGGGTATCTATCTTTGCTTATAATAACAACTTGCACTTGTACAGAGAATGCTCAAGCTCTCTCTCTCCCCTCCCTCCTCCCCCCCACACACACACACAGTTGGGGCCTCCCTCTGCACTAAGCAGTTTAGACAACGGATGCAAAGATAAAGCGGGCAATGTTATCACAAGGCCACACGCTGCAGAGTCTGAAAGCATTTGGAACAAAGCCAAGTGCGGGCCTGGGAGGGAGCGTGATTTAACTCTTGTCTTGCCACTCCGAACGTAACGCAAAAGGTCCTCAACCCCCTCCCCCTCCGCATCTGCACCCCCTCCCCCCCCACCATTAACTCTTCCCTCTGCCCAAGCCGAGACCCGAAGTAGAGGTATTACTGAGCGAGCACTTGTTGTCGTGCATCAATTCAGGGCCCTCTGTTACGCGCTGTGGGTGTCTTGTTAAAGCTGTGCCATTACCTCAGGGGGCTTTTGAGACAAGGTCACTTCAAAAGCTTGTGTCAACCCCATTGCCCCCCCCAAATACCCCTATTTCGGGCAGCGAGAAGACCCCCATTTTGGGCGTAGATGATGCCACAGCCGTTGATTGCTGTACTTCTCGGAACTTGATTGCTCGGAACCTCTGAAATGCACCTTTTACTATTAGAAATAATAATAATCCTTGCATTTGGTTCGGTGCCTTTCATGTCGGGAGGCCATCTCAAAGTGTTTCGCATGATTTGCTATAAAAGTGGAGTGACTGTGAATTTTGTAGACAAACGGCAAGCGTAATGAGTACCACAACAAGACTGGAGATAGGGGCCTAGTGCCATGAGTCTTAGAAGCCAAAATTTCTCATGTTCGTAGCCTTAAGACCAGTACCTTAACATTTACGAGGGTACAGAACTTTGGAAAAATCAGAATTTCGCTCCTGAAGACCATTCTTAAACCGAGCTGTGGAAAAGTGGCATCTGAAATTTGGAGAAACGGGGTAAAGTATGCAAATTGTTGTGTCCTTAAGGTTGAGACTATGAGGGATGTCAGGCTTCTGATACTTTTTATTGAGCCTTTTGCTTGGAGGTGGGAAGAGGGACTCAGGAGCCTCCCAAGGGAATGGGAGCAGTGTCCGGGTCAGACATACCGTTGCTTTGCTACCCTGTTCCCCAAAGCTCTTTCATCCTCTCAGTGACCTCTCACAAGGAGATTCGCCGCTCTCACACCGATGTTTCACTTACTCGAAACCAGTACTTAAATTCTGAAGGGATTATTCTTCGGGACACACGTACAGTGTTAACAAGCGATGGCTCAGAGAGGTAAGTAATGTACACAGCAGGGGAGTGAAAGATCGGACCCTGTAAGAAAATGAATGATGAACGACTGGAGGAGACAAATAGACGCAGAATGCACATTGATGCTCGGGATTTGCATTGTTTTTCAGCTCAACAAAGCCACAAAGTGCCTTTCCTCGGCTTGTTGACAAGTGGAATTTTCCAGTCCTGTTTCTGACAAACACAGTGATGTGCTGCACTCTCCTCCCCACCCCCTCCCTCCCCGTTTCTCTCTCTCTCTATCTCTCTCTCTCTCTCTCTAGGCCCAAAATTCCAAGCACTCTTCACCCTTAACACCAGTTATTCTTAAAATCGCGCAAATTTAGTTTTGCCAACAAAATACACGGTCTCAATTCACTTTACGGTACATTCTGTTGAGCGCTCATGACATCTCAAAGACATGATAAGATACTAAATCAAATACAAGGATTATTGATGGCGTTTCCAATCAGGAAAGGCAAATTTCTGTTTGTGGAACTGTGGGTCGCGTTGAATAAAGCGGCTAACACGTCCACTTGGCAATCAACAACAACAACTTGCATTTATATATCACCCCTCAGGCAGGGTAGCGTCCCAGAGCGCTTGACAGTGGTGGAGCGTGGTCGAAGAGGAAGTTTTTTAGGCACGATCTGAAGATGGGGAAGGAAGGGGCAAGGAAAAGGGGTAAAGGAAGAGTATTCCGGAGTTTGGGGGCGTAGTGTGATGGTGGAACGGAGGGCACGAAGGACGTGGAGGAGCCAGTTGAGTGGCGGCAGTGGGTAGTGGGTTGGGGAGTAATCACTTCAGGGACTTACGTGGGACTGTGTCGGAGCAGCAATCGGAGGCTTTGCAGGTCACCTTTGGCCGTGGCGTAGTGGACAGGAAGAGCTCCGGTGTCCGTGGCAACCGTGGGCTCAACGGCCTCGTCTTTCAGGAGCCACTCGGTGATGTCTTGGTGCCCGAAGCGCGCTGACAAGTGTAACACCGTCGCTCCTGAACTGTCCTTATCCTGCGGAGAGAGTAACCCTGCAGTGAATTCATTAAATCAAACAGTAATCGTCCCCTTCAAGGCCCGTCTCAAGAATCTCGTCTTCGATCACCCTCCTACCCCTGCCCCCTCCCCACCTCCCAGCTCGGGTCTAAACCCCTGACTGTCCAGCGCCTTGGGACGTCCTCCCGACGTGAATGGCGCTATACAAATGTAATTTGTTGTTGTTGTTGTTGTTGAGTAGGACGTCCGTGTTCCCTTTGCAAAACGTTTAGAGAGGTACTAAATCCCTTTCTTCTTAATAGATTGTAGACCAGCAATTCCACCTTGCCCTAGCTCTAGGCACTTCAGGGGCCCTACCCCAACAACAACAACAAAATGACATTTGATAAACTCATTTTACTTAGGAAGGATGTCCCAAAGCGCCAGAATCAATCCACACGACGGGCGCTATGCAACTGCACGTTGTTGCCGTAAGGCCGTTTTCATCTTAGTAATTAAATGGCGCAGAATTACGAGAGGCTCTTGTCTTGGGTTTGGGAATTTTCCACAATGACACACGACCTTAACTTCTGAGGCAAAATGGGCTATTTACAATTTCAGGCCTTCTGTGTGCGCGTGATCCAATCTGCTAAGAAATAGCGCGAGTTTCAATGTATTATTAGTGATGTATGGCTTCTGGAGGGTATAGGTGTACATTGAGATATCTGCAAATCTAGATAGTGGTTTCGTCGCTCTGTGGGTAGAAGCTGTGGTGAGGGGCAGAGATGAATACTAGGGCGTGCCTGCATCAGTGGGAGGGTACTGTTAGTAGAGGGAAGAGAGGAGAGGTGGGGGAGTTTGGGGGGGGGGGTGTGAAATAACTAGGGAGAGTGGAAATAATGCAAATGACTGCCCTCCTTCAGGAAGCTTTGCTGATGCTGCATTGACACATCTCCATAATCTACTTTAGCTAAATATAGAGGCCTCTAAACCAACTGTAATGCAGCTAAAGGCAACTCAGCGTCACACACTTTATTTTCTCCTGATGGATTATTCAAAGCAAATTTCCACACGGATGCTGCCTTTGCTATATCACTGACCCCACACGTGTCCTTTCTGAACACAAAGGGAGACTGAGACACCAATAAGCACATAGTGTATACACAGGGCCCGTACCAATAGAGTGTGTCGGACTTAGTAATAATAATTATTATTAAGATTTTGTGTGTGTGGTGGGGGGGGGGGTTTGCAGTGAAATTCTGGATTGGCACCATCCTTCAAAAAAAATAGTAATCATTTGGTCACTTCAATCCACGATTGTTTGTGGGACGCTGCTGTGCGCAGTTGGCTACGCTTTACGGTATATTCCATGAAGCACCTTGATATGTCTTATGCCTTATATGTGATAAGGCGCTATATTAAATGTAGGGATTATTATTATTATTATTATTATTACGATCTCCATAAGATTAAGGATTCCCATATTGGTGCATCTCGGATTTCTCGTTAAGAAATCCTGTCAAGTAAAACACAAGTTAACCCTCACAAAAAGCTTCAGGTGGTCAACCGAATGAGAGTATTGCCACCTTTCCCATTCTTGGAATGAAAGCGGGTTCCATACTCGTTGGGCCGAAGGGCCTGTTTCCTTCCTGTATGATCTGTGCAATTCCTTCCTATGTAAAATCTATGCAAATTGGAAGAACAGTGGCTTTGAATGCCGATGTAGCGATGTGACTAGGATCTCCGTTAGGAGAGCAAATGTAAAGCAATTATTTTTGTGCATTGTCCACAATGAACTGAGGGAGACGGATAAGCAGGTCGGGCGGCAGCAATGATGGGAAGAATAGTGCAGGGATCCTAATCCATGCTTTCTAGCACTTATTAAATAACTTGTGCAAGGAAGGACCACTCCTCCCGCACTCCCTCCCTGTCCTCTCGGTCCTCTCTCCCTCCCTCCCCACCCCGACAAATATTGGAAAACATTCCACTGCTCTGTACTGACAAACTTATTATGATTAACTATCGAATAGATAGAAGATTATTCAGAAAAAAGGGGGAGTTTCCATCTCCTGGTGTCCAGGGAAATGATCCCCCAGATCAAAAAAAACAGTGCATGGGCTGAGAGCTTGTGTCTGTGCTGTAACAACCAATGCTTTTAGGCACAAAAAAGCTATTAGTCCAGAACTTTTTAACACCTGTTTATTTTATATGCTCATTATCACCGCTGCTGTGAATGTGAAGGAGATGTGCCAGAGGAACACGGTCTAGCCAAGTGCTCCCCACACCACCCACTCATTTAATTTCTGTGTTTTCTGGTTTTGTAGGCGCTTTCCATTCCCAGGGCCTAATGAGGCTGGGATCTGGTGCGGGGGACAGGCGGAGAGGTTGAACAAGACTCGCTGCCATCAATGAATCAATTCAGAAAAGAAACAAATCATGTTTTGAATAAGCACTGCTGCTCCACCCCCAGAAAAATCACTGATGTCATATGGTGATTTTGTGGCTATACTGCGGCAGCCATTTACATAAGATTTAGGTACAGTGACACGGCATTGAATCATGGCATTCAGTCCAATTAGTCCGTACCAGTCTTTATAGATATTGTATATTATTATGGGATTTAAGACATAGGTTGTTTGGGACATATTTGTATGCGACCACCACAAAGGTGGAAGGAGACCTAGATGGACCTTGGTCTTTTTATCGCCTAGCATTTCTTATCTTCTTATATGTCCGTCTACTCCACAAGTGCCCCATCTGTCCCATTCCCCTCTCCTACATCCCTGTATACCCCACTCCCTCACGTATGCGTCACGTTTTCTCTTAATTACTCTTTGATGCTGTTTGCTTCCGCCACAGCGTCGGGCAGCGGGTATCCCAGAAGTTCTCACTATCCCAGAAGAAGTTCTGCCTGGAAACAAAGCCACCACCGCAACTTGCATTACAGAGCGCCACTCAAGTGGGGTAGGGTTCCAGAGCGCTTGAGTCCATAAAATCTGGCCCCCAGGTTATAATGTGGCTTGCTAAGAAATGACCACAGTAGACAAGTTAGAGGGGGAGTGTGGAGCTACTCACACGCAGCACAGTAACATGATTGTGCCAGGGCACGGCTCAGTACAAAATGAATCCTGTCCCGTTTCCAAGTCTCAGCTGACTTTGCTCCATTCCTCCATTGTCTCTGAGCCAACAATGCTCACAGTATCAAGAGGAAAGCAACGAGGCTGAGATAAGATAATAATAATAATAATAATAATCCTTGCATTTGGTAGAGCGCCTTATTATGTCATTGTGACATCTCAAAGGGCTTCACAGAATATACTATAAAGTGAATTGACTGTTGACCTTGGGTGAAACTCGGCAGCCAACTGCGCACAGCAGTGTCCCACAAACACTCGTGGATTGAGTGACAAAATTATTATTATTTTTATTTATTTACAATGGAAAAAGATAAGCTTCGAATGAAACTTGCCGCTTTGGTTCATTTGATCTCAGTCTTCCACCAAACTCCCTGAACCACATTCCTAAAACCCCAGTGTTAGATGGGTCAAGGTGGACCTTGGTTTAACCGTCATGTTAGATTATGGGCTCAGTTCCTGCCAAGGGTTTGGACCCAATAACTTTCTGATCACGAGGCGAGCGTGCTACCAGCTCAGCTGAAATGATCCACTGTAGTCTCTTGAACTCTGTCGCTCATGGATACTCTACCTCCATTTAGTTATTTGCTTGCTGTGGTGAGTTGACGGTTGCCAGAGGACATTGTTGTCAGTTGTTGAGTTGCTCTACCACCACAGTAACAGGCAACACACAATCGAACGGAAAACAAACGGAAAAGCCATTGATGGTCTTCCTTTCGCAGATGAGGCAGACTCTCTCTATTACCAGTGAGGACTCAGAATAACGCCCCCAGCGTTGCCAGCACCTCAGCGACAAACAGCCAATACACAACAGCGGAGAAGGAAGGCAGTGACTCATCTTGTCTGTATATAAGCTCTGAACGAAAGATACCCAAACCAACTCTGATTCTGCCTCAGTTATCACATAATAACACGACCAGAGCTTGTTCCAACACAAGGGTTTAAGTCCTTAAAATCAGCTCCTGTGTTACAAACCTGTCCAGCTATAAAAATGACCACCAGTCAGCGTTATATAAGCCAGGACTCTCTCTAGCTTTGAAAAGACTCGGCCCGAAGGCAAACCGAGAGATTTACAATAGAATAGTGCTTCAAAAAGAGCCACTGGTCAAAACTTCGAGGTTGCCAGGTCACTGTTGATATCACTTCCTCCACTGCACGCAGGAGGCTGACAATTGCTGCCCACGGCGAGAACCTCTTCACCTCCGCAGGAAGCCAGGCAGTCACCCCCGGAAACTGCAAGGTGTAATAGTCTTTGCATTTGATATAGCACCTATATCCTCTCAATGTGTTCTTAGAATGTGTAGTGACTGTGTGTAAGGTGAATGGACAGGGTGGTTCAAACTAGATATACTATATACTATACCACACTAGACAACAGGTCGGCCCAGTGGAGAGGAGATTTCCTCTCTCCACGGTCAAATTAAAACCACAACAGCAAGTTCTGAACGTGCATCGATTTGCTCTTCAAACGATGGCTGTGGCAGCAACAATCCACTAGAGGACCCCTAATAATCAATGGCTTGGCCTGTGCTTAAAGTTCCCCCGAAAGGCTTATGCAACTTTACAACAACTTGGTAACTGTGCAGGAAATCCGTGGTCCGTGTGTTAGATATCAGAAGATGCTGACACTAAAATCAAAGGGGGATTTGATAGAAGAGTCCACCATGTGTTATCGCACTTCAGCAGATGTCCAGAAAGCACACAAGGATGTGTGTGCAGTTTAGATATGCAGAGATGTCGGTGAATAGATTGTGCGGTGTTTGGGCTCTGATTTGTAGAATTTCTTAATGCTGTTCCCTAATCTTAGTCTCGCTAATGTGGGCTCCTTTCAGTTACCAGAAGGTACACTGACCATCAGAAACTATGTCACACCGATCTACATTAAGTTTTTTGACCTGCAGGACGTAGATCACACCAACCTGTCTGAACTCTCTGACCCAATTTGGGAGCAGAGGTTGTCTGAAATTCTGATGAGTTCCTTGTCAATACTGCAAGTTAACCCCTTGTTTGGGGTTCCCCTGACTGTCCAGCGCCTTGGGAAGTCCCCCCGATGTAAAAGGTGCTACATAAATGTAATTTTTTTTATTATTATTGTTGTCAATGAGGTTACAGAGGAGAAGGTATAATAGGGGCAAATAGTGGAAGAGTTGTATGAAGAACACGAGTTTGGGAAGAGTTACATTGATGATTATTGCGGTGGTGGGGTGGGGGGGGGGGGTGAGGGGGCAGAAATTACACAGGGAGTAATAGATGGTGTGCTGGTGAATTAATCTATAATTTATCTGCAATGTGGGCGTTTAGCTCACAAAACACAGAGAAGCTACGCTTTATAATTTGTTCTGTGAAGCGCTTTGAGCCCTCTCGACGACGTAATAAGGTGCTATATCAAATGATTATTATTATTAATGTAAGATCTTATTTATTGGAGTAGAAACTCCAGATCAAGTGCGCCGTGCGCTGGGTTTCTATTTTGCAGCGAGTTTAAGATGTGAGGGAACCCTGAGGACTGTCAGCTATCTCCCTTGGGTGGTGGGGGGGGGGGTTAATAATAGTGAGAGCAAACAGGGAGGCAGGTAAATTCTGCCCGGGTTTGTGCTGACCGGGTGGACACAGGTTGAAAATACTGAAACCCTTGAAAACACTAAATCAGGGAGAAAAATTACTCTGGCTTCTATAACAAAAAAACACAGTGCTAACAGTTGAGAGCACATCCTCCTCACCATTAGTTTGAGCCGCTCACGACACACACACACATATATATAAATATATACACACTCTAAATTTCTTCTTGTGGTTTCAGTTTATTCACACCAGATGGTAATGGGTTTCTGCATGTGTCAGACACCCAACTGATCCTCCCCACCCAAAAAAAAGCATCTCACATCCCCCCCCGCCCCCTCCCCACTCTTACCTATAACTCAAATCCTTCTTTTACCTGTAACTTACTTAGCCTTTAAGCGTTCCCTGTCTCTCTCTGTCTCAGGTAAAGGTGAGCGTACAAATACAAGATGTATGTTACCTGTAACTCACATCCCTTTTTTTTTGTACCTGTAATTAGTGGTACCCAAAAAGGTGTGGGTGGGGTGGGTTTTTTTTGGGGGTGGGGGGTATTGAGGGGTGGGAGAGTGTTAGTTGGGGGTGTCTGCCACATGTGGAAACCCATCACCATCCTGGTGCAAAACCAAGTGGATCAAGAACACAATCAATGTCGTGCGTAACTAAGACGGGTTACAGGTAAAGAGGTGAATTGCCTGTAAACGCACATTACCCCCACCCTGAACCTCACCCCCCCACCCCACCCTGACCCCCACCCACACCCCCCCCCCCACACCCACAAGTCTTACCTGGAGCTGACACCCCCCACAGCTGAGTAGCCACTGCAGACACACCAAGTTGCCGGTCGCCGCTGCGTCGTGCGCCGGGGTGGCCCCGTTCTTCGCCCGCTGGTTCCCGGGAAGCTTGGCCACCTCCACCAGGAACTTCAGGGCGCACAGCCTGCCCGCCCGGGCGGCGTGGTGGGCGGGGGACGCGCCCAGGTGGTCGGTGATACCGGGATGGATCAGCCCCCGACCGTGCAACTCCTCCAGCGCCGGCACGTCCCCGTTCTTCGCGGCCACGAGAGCCACGTCCAGCACCATGGCGTTGGCACCCAAATACACACAGACACAGAGAGAGAGACAGAGAGAGAGAGACACAGACACAGAGAGACACAGAGAGGGACACAGAGAGAGAGACACAGAGACACAGAGAGACAGAGAGAGACAGAGAGAGAGACACAGACACAGAGAGACACAGAGAGGGACACAGAGAGAGAGAGACACAGAGAGACACAGAGAGACAGAGAGAGAGACACACAGACACACAGACACAGAGAGACACAGAGAGAGAGAGACACAGAGAGAGAGTCACAGAGAGAGAGATACAGAGACACACAGACAGAAATACACAGAGAGAGAGACACAGAGACACAGAGAGAGACACAGAGAGAGAGACACAGAGAGAGAGACACAGAGAGAGACACAGAGAGACAGAGACACAGAGAGACACAAACCCAAATCAAGCACTTCTCCTGAGTCTCTCCCCTCTCCTCTTTGTTGGCTCCTGTCTCTCTCTCTCTCCCCTTCTCCTTTCCCCACTTTACTTTTTGTGAGTGATCATTTTTGTTGATGCAAATGCACTTGTGTGTGAGTGTGAGTGTGAGTGTGGCAGCAATACCTCAAACCACTTGCTTTGCTTCCCAGCCACAGACCTCCCTCTCCCTCTCCCACTCCCTCCCTCCCTCCCTCACCCTCTCTCTGTCTGTCTGTCCCACGTTGCAGATTTAATTACAAAAGCCTCTCTCACAATATTGAATAATCCATGAGAGAGGCGTCACCAAGTGGATGACAGGGAACCAACAAACTGTCAACACAACACAGCTTTCCTCTCTCTCTCTCTCTCTCTGTGTGTGTCTCTGTCTCTGGTCTCTATCTCGTTCCTTTCATAAAGCTCAATCCATGCAACTCTTGTCTGAATTGTTGCTGCTGTCACAAGGACTTGCAATCAACCCAATGGTTCCTCCTGTTAGAAGCGGGCACCTCGAAGACTTTTAGCGTTTAATTATATACAGCAGGCTGCTGCTTCGAACCGTAAATTATTCATAGAGTTGAAACATCCTTTCTTCTTCTTCTTCTTCACTTGTTAGTCGATTCCAAGTGACACGCTCTGCCTTCCGTGTTATTCTAAATTAATGCTCTTTCTTCTCTGGCTGCATGACCAAATATTATTAAATATAATATATATATATATATCTCTCCTCGTGTCTCGGTTAAGAATATAAGAGAATAGAAGGAAAGGGAGAAAGGTTAGTTAGCACCACCTGTCTGAACGCATCGTTTCCAATTCGTTCGGACTCTATCCAACCCCTTTAATCTCCTCTTCCAAATTCTGGACTGTTTTGGGATAACCTGGTGCGTCTGCAGTGGTTGCTCAGCTACCAGTAAGAGGGGATGTCAGTGTCAGGAGAGCACTGGAGTAATCATATCCTCTAGTACCCTGAGATACTAATTAGTCACAGCCACAGCAAACTTACATTTATTTATATAGCTTCTTTTGCTTGCAGTATCATCTCAGAGCACTTAACGGAGGCTGAGGTTGACTTCAGGGCTGTGGTGTGCTTCAGGAATAATAATTTAGTACTGTGCAATGCTGGAGTAATAGCTTTTCATAATGTGGCATACAGGAGTCATAATATTTTAGCAATGTGGTCTACTGGAGTAATAATCTTTAATGCTGTAACACACTGGAGTAACAATCCTTTAGCACTGTGATATCATTTTAATAATAGCCTTTAATGGCACGCTGTAAGGTGCTTTAATGCAACCAATGGGAAGAATGGATTCCTTTGACAAACAGGGCGCAAATCAATTCAAAACGTAGTGATTCACAGGGAAAACTATATTAAATATTGTCCGCGAACAGGCTTGAAGTGGTGACGGAGGGAAGTTTATCACACGACCAGTTATTATAGCTGACGCCTAACGGATTGGCAGATAACAGCAGAATCATTGCAATGTTATTTTAACAGCGCACAAACCCTGACCCACCCAGTCTGTCCCGGTGTCTCCCTCCACGTGAGCAGTCAAGTCAAGTCGAATTACATTTTCTCGCTCGCTGCTGAGTATCTCTTAATATTCTGCTTTTTCTTTTCTTTTAAAAGCCTCTGCTCCGACTACGGTTTGTGACCGGCGTAGAATTCAAACCAATCACCGTGCGTAGAATTTCCGTGATTGGTTTGAATTCTCTGCCAAAAAGCAAGTCTTTCTGTGATTACGTTAAATTTCGCCCACAAAATCTTCGCTTTACGGTATATTCTGTGAAGCGCTTTGAGACGTCTCGAAGATGTGATGCTATAAAATGCAAGGATTATTATTACTATTATTGCGATCTCTTGTTCCCATTGACGTGCCAATCAGTGGAAATAATCTAATACTAACGACCCTATCACAAAACCTTTGTAATTTTGAAGACAGACCTCGATCAGGTCAACTCCTAACCTTCTCAGCTGTTTCAGGTAAGATTCAGGCAATGATGCTCATTGCCTCTCCACACTCCGCAAAGTTAATTTAAATGTAGGTGCTGTGACTTGTTGACGTGGGCTGAACACTTCTGCTCCTCATTTCCTCACGAGTTATTTTGACTGTGTTTTGGCAGCATGCCCAATATGCTGAGATAATAGTGTTGGTTATAGCGCTGAGGGTACCTCCGACTGCCAGCCACAGAGAGTAGCCGTACTCAAAGCTCGGGAAACCAGGAATCTTCAGAGAGACCTGCAACACAGACCGAGAATTGCTGTCGAGTGTAGTGACTGGGTGTTTGTAGGCAAACGTAGCGGCTGGTTTGTGTCCAGCAAAGTCCCACCAACAGCTGTGAAGTCAGGACACCGGGAGAAGCACCCTTTGGGGAGTGTCGTGGTTGGGGAGGTTGTGGGTGGGGTGGGGGGTGAGGCAACAGAGATGTAATCTAACCGAGGCAATGTCTCTGGAGATGATAACAATTGGCAAGTCAAGGTGACTGGCTGCTTGTTATCTGAGCTATCAATCCTACATGGCCAAGTTATTATAACTTAGAAGCACTTGTGAGTTGGGAAACGCATAAAGTGAAGAGTGCACAGGTTGCTTGGAAAGAAACGCATGTGGACGTATGACCGTGCATGTGCATGCGTGTGTGCACGTGCGCGCTTCAATCTATGGCCCCGTAGGAGTGAGAGATGGAATCCGCTGCAGTCAGAGGAATCCCTTACACAAGGTTACAAACCTCAAACTGATGCATTTTGTAAACGTAGGCACAATACCACACGGTCCCAACCGCAGAGCACAAACCTGCACAAACAAACAATGAAACAAAGGTCGTTATTTATTGAATGACTCGATGCAGTAATATAGCATTAATAATATATTATTATATATCTTCCATATTCTTTAGGGAGGGATGGGTTGAAATATAACAGCTATATGCAGTCAGCTTCTCTCTGAAACACAAGCCGTGTAACAGGAGCGTGCATTAAGTACAGTTTATTTATCTCGCTTGTAAGACTTTCCGAAGTGACAGTGACACTCTGAACTCTCTTCAAATCGAACACCCTTAACAGCCGGGGTCAGGTATCAATTGTATTTTAGTTCACCTCTGTCGTATGTCTGTCCTCTGTAACACACCCATTGACGTTATTGACACAGATTGTAAATAAAGTATCGTGATACACCGACTGCAGGCTCCTTTACGCAGCGAAACCCAAAGGTATTAAAGGTCTTTGCAGCTGAAAACATGGGTTTGGTACAAGAAGATCTCCCAGAAATGAAATAAACTGATAGTGGGGATAGGCACCGAACATTGTCCAAAGAGCAGGGTCTTCTGGTACTGAATGTTGCCCGGGGACAGTGCCTCCTGCTGGAACTATTGGGTACTGAACAGTACCTGAGAACATTGAAACAAAACAGGCCCTGGACACTGCCTCCTCGCTGAAGCTATGGGGTTTTGAGCATTGACCGAAACAGCGCCTTCCGGGGGAACAACGAAGTACTGAACATTGCCAGGCAGCAAACACCGGCCAAAATCTACCAGGGAAAATAGTGCCAAGTGCTTACCGACGATGAAATAGAGAGCGGCAGCAAGGCGCAGGAACCTCTGTTTGATCACAATGTCTTCAAAGCACATGAAATGCTTGAATCCCAGGATCAGGCTGAGGAAAGCACAGACGCTCACGATGCCTGAGGTCACCATCAGACTCCGAGTGATTACAATGGTAGCTGTAGATGTAGGCGAACGTACAGTATACGTGTGATGTTCAATTCGACTGAGTAACGTTACGCACACAAGTACATGTATTTTTGAGCTCGCACACAGTAGCTGGGAGACATGAGATTGGAACAGAAAGTCTCTGAATTTATTTAGAGTTGCGAGAGAGGCATTGAGAGTGAAAGGAATCGTTACCTGGGTGAGGGTTTAGGTAGGAGTTGAAGTGATCACACGTCCAGATTTTCACAAAGCGGTCCCACACGCACTCCCGCCACAAGCCCTTGCAGCGCCTGCTCAACATCACCGACCCTTTGCTGTTGATCTGTGAAAACACACTCACAGGAGTCCTCCATTGCCTCTCGCTCAATCAATGGTGAAAACGGTCTGTACGTATAATGATCCTTGCATTTGATCCAGCGCTTTTCGAATCGGGAGGAGGTCTCAAAGTGCTTCAAAGGATTTTCCGGTAAAGTGCAGGGACTGTGTAGTGACCAATCTTGTGCAAGGCAATGTGCGGTGAAAGGCGCTATATAAATGCAATTTGTTGTTGTTGTTGTTGTTGCTGTTGCCACAAACAGTACAGAAGTGAATGATCAAGTTGGTCTGGGGGAAAGCTACCTCTCAAATAGCACCATGAGATCTTTAACATCCACCTGAATACGCAGACAGGATCTCAGTTTAATGTCAGTTCCAAGTCCTTGATGTGTGGGCTTGAACCCACAAGCTTCTGACTTGAAGGCAAGAGTGTTCCCTTCGATTCATCAGACTAACAAATTGTACCTTTGCGCACTTTCAAGGAAATGCTGGGAAAGAAAGCTGCGAGATGTATCTAACAGCAACTTACTTACTTACCTGCCAACAATCAGTGAAGAGAGAGGCAATGATGGCTC